GCCGCTGCAAGCCGGCAGCCCCTCTCCGCCCCAGCAAGTCGGCCTTTACTCCCGCTCCCCCAACCCGAAAGTTAAGAAATCGGGAGAAAGTGTGAGGCTCAGCCGGCGACTTTCCCATCACGCAGCGCCCCCACGGCACCCCCCTCCTCCGGCGAAGCGAGCGTTGGGGTCTTAAAGGGACCGCACATCTCCTCCCGCCCCTCCTCCCCCTCGGCGCTGGGTGCACCTAGGAGCTCCCCACCGCTCGCACCGGCGGTCTGAAGACCCCGGCTACCTTCCAACTTCCCAGCCGAAAGCCTGCGACCCCTCTCCTCCCGCACAACGGCCTCTCTGCGTGCACCTGGTCCAGTACTGAGCTGGTGCGCGGGACGCAGGATGAGCTGGTCTCGAAAATTATGCCCTAGCAGGATGCTTATCATTTCGGGGCGTTTCCCAAGTCCACATCGCAACTAGTAAAGTGACAAAGCGTTGGTGTCCCTCAAGGCAGGGTGGAGATGGGTGTGTGGGTGGAGGGAGAGGGGACGACTTAGAAATCTGCTTTCTTCTACAAAGAGGGCTCCCAAGCCCCACGGAAAGGCCCTCTACTAACTGTTAGGTGTCTTGAAAACTTGGAGCGGCTCACCTTAGGTAGCCACCACTGTTCTAGCAGTCCCTGTGATTCTGTCTTGGGCCAAAAACCCATCCTTAAAATCACAGTAGCACTGCTGATGCCTTGGTAAGCCTGCAACAGACTAGTCCAAATTTGTGTTTATTCGGTGAGCTATAGTTACAAAGAATTATCAGAATCCTCTAAGGGCCTGAAAGCGTTGCCTTGACAGACAGTACCCATTTATATTTAAGCCCTAAATTTAGAGGAGAACTGCAGGGCTTTTTTTCCACGTGGAACTGCAATAATATTGATATTCCTAACATCTGTATGCCACTTTATGGCTTACAGAGCACTTTCACATACATCATCATTACTTTTTCAACTCTCAACATGCTGAATTATCTGTGTGTGGCCTCAAGCATTAGAGTTGGCCAGGACTTTCTAGACCATTCAGCTCAGTCTCTTCCTGGCACAGAAGAAACTGATGTGGGGGAGGGGACAGGGAGGTGATGTATCCAAGGTCACACAGCTAGTAAATGATAGATTTGAGACTCCAATTCAGATTTCCTGACTTTCAATCCACTACTCTCTGGCTGTTATCTCCAGTCTATAGGTGAGGAAATTGCTGCTCAGGGAAATTGTGGCTTGCCAAAAAAACACATATCCTGAAAAGAGAACAAAGGAAAATTAAAACAAAAATAACTGTCCCTGGAAGTTATCTCCTTTTTCTTTCTTCAAAAGTGTTACTATCATACAACTAGCTCCTGCATTGCTGGAGATGTTTATTTCACTGTTAACAAAGAAAAGGAGGCCCTTTCTGAAATGTTGCCTTCAGGGCCCAAAATGTCTAGCTCCATCCTGCTGCTTGGGTAGCCATACATTGCCACATGCATTCAATTTGTGCTGTACTGTATAGTTTGAACTTGCTAATTTGTTGCCTTATAACTGTTCTCATGCTATTTAATGCACTGATGTTTTGTCTCACTACACTGAGTTCTTCAAGGGCAAGGACTGGTTGTTCAAGTTCCTTTGTATCTGCACCCCCAACCCCCATCATCACTCCCAACGTGCTTAGAAGGTATTCAGGAAAATGGGTTTCAGGGAATAGCTTGGGACAAACATGGATCCTAGCATTTAAAATCAGTAGACTCACTGAGATTTAAAAGCTCATCTATTTGGCTACAACCACTGACTCCCCTTGCTTGATGTAGTATTCTGATTACTGCATAACAAACCATCCCAAAACCTAGTGGCTTAAAAGCTTAAAATGATTTATTATGATCAAATGGTTCTTTTCAACTGGGCAGTTTTTGCTCAGGATCTCTTACATACTTGGCAACAGTATAAGGGGGCTGCTCAAATTCTCTGAAAGGTTCTTCATTAGTGTAAATGCTGGTGGTCCTTGTATTAGTTCCAGTCTTGATTTCTGAATTGGGAACTCCGATTTGGGTCCTAACCTAGACTTCTTACCAGGTCTTATTCAAGCTACAATAATGATTATCTCTATGCCTTATTTTTCTCTATTTATTAAATGGTGACTAGAGCATAGATCATCTCATACTCATTTTTTAAAAAATGTTTTATTTGAAGATAATCATAGATTTACATGCAATTGTAAGAAATAAATTCAAAGGAATCTTAAATACCCTTCACCCCCAATGATAACATCATGCATAACTATAGTACAATATCACAAACAGGAAATTGAGATCAATACAATCCATCCACCTTATTCCAATTTCACCAGTTTTATATGCAGCCATCTGCCTGTGTATATAGCTCTATGACATTTTATGACATGTGTAGGTTGATGTGATCACTACCACCCATCAAGATACTAAACAGTGCCAACACCACAAGAATCTCCAGTATTACTCTTTTATGATCACACTTATCTTCCCTCCTCTTCTTCCTACTCCCTGGCAACCACTAAACTCTTCTCCATCTCTATAATTTTGTCATTTAAGAGTATTACATGAAATCATACAGTATGTAAACTTCTGAAAGTGGATTTTTTCACTCAACATAATTCTTTGGCAATCCATTCAAGCTATTCCAGTATCAAGAGTTTGTTCCTTTTATTGCTGAGTAGTATTCCATGGTATGGATGTATCACAGCTTAGAAATTAACCATTCATCTATTGCAGGATATCTGGGTTGATTCCAGATTTTGGCAGTTACAAATAAAGGAGCTATGAACAGTTGTCTACAGATTTTGCATGAGCCTAAGTTTTCATTTCTCTGGGACAAATGCCCAACAGTGTAGTTCCTGGATTGTGTGGTAAGTGCATGTTTAGTTTCGTAAGGACCGCCATATGCTTTTTCAGAGAAGCTGTGCTATTTATATTCCCACCAGTAATGAATGAAAGATCCAGTTTATCTACATCCTTGTCAGCATTTGTTGTTGTCATTATTTTTTATTTTAGCCATTCTGATAGGGGTATAGGGATATATCATTGTGGTTTTGAATTGCATTTCCCTAGTATCTAATGATGTCTACCATCTTTTCATGTGTTTATTTAACATCTGTATATCCTCTTTAGTGAAATGTCTCCATGTAATTTTGAGATTTTCTAATTGGATTGTTTTCTTACAGTTGAATTTTAAGAGTTCTTTATATATTCTAGATACTAGTCCTTTGCTCCACACATAGTTTGCAAATATTTTCTCCCAGATTGTAGTTTATCTTTTCATCCTCTTCTCACAGGATTTTATAGAACAAAAGTTTTTAATTTTGATGCAGTCCAATTTATCAGTTTTTCCTTTTATAGACTGCATTTTGACATTAAGTCTAAGAATGCTCTGCCTAGTCCCAGGCCCAACTGTTTTCTCCTATGTTTTATAATGTCATAGTTTTAAGTTTTACATTTTAATTGATGATCCATTTGAATTAATTTTTATATAGGTGTGAGATTTAGATCAAGGTTCACTTGTTTGACTATGAATGTCCAATTGCCCAGCATCATTTTTTTAAAAAACTATCTTTCCTCCATTGAACTGCTTTAACGCCTTGATCAAACAATGGTTGGTATTGTATGGGTCTATTTCTGGTTTCTCTATTTTGTTTGATTGATCTCTGTGTCTATTCCTCCATCAACAGCACCCAGTTCTTACTTTTGTAGGCATATGGTAGGATTAATATCAAGTAGAGTGTCCTCCCACCCTATTCTTTTTAAAGATTGTTTTAGCTATTCTGGGTCCTGTACCTTTCTGTATAAATTTTCAGATAAGCTCATCTATGTCTACAAAAAGAAAAAAACCCTTCTCGGAATTGGATAAGAATTGCATTAAACCTATAGATCAATTTAGAAAGAGCTAACAACTCCATTGTGTCGAGTCTTCCAATCCCTCAACAGAATATGTTTCTCCATTTCTGTAGGTCTTCTTTGATTTCATATATCAATGCTTTCTAGTTTTCAGCATATAGAACCTGTACATGTTTTGTTAGATTCATACTTAAGTATTTAATTTTCTTTGGAGCAATTGTAAATGTTATTTTTTTTAAATTTCAATTTCCAGTGTTCATTCTTGGTATGTATTAATGCAATTGATTGTTGTGTGCTGATCTTGTGTATAATGTGTTGCAGAACACATATTCATTTTATTAATCTTTTCCAGCTTTATTGAGATATAATTGACATTAAACATTGTATGAGTTTAAGATGTACAACATGATGATTTGATATATGCATATATTATGAAATGATTACCACAATAATGTTAGTTAACACATTCATCACCTCATGTAATTACATTTCTTTGAGGTGAGAACATTTAAGATCTACTCTCTTAGTAATTTTTAAGTATATAATATGATTATATTATATACTT